GGCGAATAGCCCGGGCCTGGTGGTTCACACCTGTAATCCCAGCACTTTGGGAGGCTGAGGCAAGTGGATCACCTGAGGTCAGGAGTTCAAGACCAGCCTGACCAACATGGAGAAACCCTGTCTCTACCAAAAATACAAAAATTAGCCCAGCATAGTGACACTTGCCTGTAATCCCAGCAACTTGGGAGGCTGAGACAAAAGAATCACTTGAACCCAGGAGGCGGAGGTTGCACTGAGCTGAGATTATGCCACTGCATTTCAGCCTGAGCGACAGAGTGAGACTCTATCTCAAAAAAAAAAAAAACAAAAACAAAAAGAATAGCCCGGGCCTGGTGGTTCACACCTGTAATCCCAGCACTTTGGGAGGCTGAGGCAAGTGGATCACCTGAGGTCAGGAGTTCAAGACCAGCCTGACCAACATGGAGAAACCATCTACCAAAAAAAAAAAAAAAAAAAAAAATAGCCAGGCGTGGTGGAGCATGCCTGTAATCCCAGCTACTCAGGAGGCTGAGGCAGGAGAATCACTTGAACCTGGGAGGCGGAGTTTGCGATGAGCTAAGATTGAGACATTGCACTCCAGCCTGGGCAACAAGAGCAAAGCTCCATCTCAAAATAATAACAATAATAACAAAAAAATAATGTTATGTGTGTTTTGTTGGTTGTTGTTTTAAGACAGGGTCTCACTCTGTTGCCCAGGCTGGAGTACAGGGGCACAATCTCAGCTCACTGCAACATCTGCCTCCTGGGCTCAAGTGATCCTCACCTGAGCCTCCTGACTAGCTGGGACCACAGGTGTGCACCACAATGCCCAGCTAATATTGTCTATATTTTTGTAGAGACGGGGTTTCATCATGTTGCCCAGGCCGGTCTCCTCAACTACAGCGATCCACCCACTTGGACTCCCAAAGTGCTGGGGTTGCAGGCATGAGCCTGCTCAGCCTAAAACAATAATGTTTTGAGGGCAATTTCTTTAAATTATTTTTATGTTTAGCACCAGTTATGGAGTTCCTGATTTGCTCACTTTATCTACTGGAACTCAGAAGCTGGAGTTCACTAAATCTATGCCTTGACAATACCAATTCAAACTTCTTTCAATTCACTAAGATAAGGAACAAGATCCCCCATGGAGAAATAAAGAACAATTATCAAAGACAAATTGCAAACATCATTGAAACTTAAGAAAAGGTCACGGGGGGGTGGAAAAAAAAGAAAAGGTCACATAACATTAGCTTCTTCCTCAGACTTTGAAAAACAAACACTTGTTATTAAAAATTTTTAGATCACATTAAAAATTTTAAAGTTAATTAAAAATTTTTAAATCACATTAAGTGATTCCTATAGCACTTGAACTATCTGATTGTCCAAGGACTAAATGTTTTAAGGCTTTTTGATGAGCTAAGGAAATTATTCTCTTTTATTTTGCTCAAATAATCCTTCACATCTTTAAGTGATGAGGTAAAAGTGTGAGATTGGTTCCCTTCCTCCCCCTGCCCCGCTCTGAGACAGGGTCTCCCTCTGTCCCTCAGGATGGAGTGCAGCGATCCAATCATAGTTCACTGCAGCCCCAACCTCTTTGGCCCAAGCGACTCTCCTACTTCAGTTTCTTGAGTAGCTGGGACCATACGTGTGTGCCACCACACCTGGCTAATTAAAAAAAAATTATAGAGATGGGGTCTCCCTACATTGCTCAGGCTGGTCTTGAATTCCTGGGTTCAGTTGATCCTCCCACCTCAGCCTCCCAAAAGTGCTGGGATTACAGGTGTGATCCACCACACCTGGCCTAAACTTATAATGGTTTTTTTGTAGTTGTTGTTTTTGTTTATTTGTTTGTTTGTTTGAGACAGAGTCTCCCTCTGTCGTCAGGTGCCAGGCTGGAGTGCAGTGGCACGATCTCAGCTCACTGCAATCTCAGCCTCCCAGGTTCAAGCAATTCTCCTGCCTCAGCCTCCCAAGTAGCTGGGACTACAGATGCACGCCACCACGCCCAGCTAATTTTTATATTTTAGTAGAAACATGGTTTCACTATGTTGGCCAGGATGGTCTCGATCTCTTGACCTCATGATCCGCCCGCCTCGGCCTCCCAAAGGGCTGGGATTACAGGCGTGAGCCTACGTGCTGGGCCAATTTATAATGTTTTAAAAATATTTTTTTACCTACTAAACTGTATTTATTTATTTATTTATTGTATTTTTTTGAGATGGCATTTCACTCTGTCACCCTGGCTGGAATGCAGTGGCATGATCTCAGTTTACGGCAACCTCTGGCTCCCAGGTTCAAGCAATTCTCCTGCCTCAGCCTCCCGAGTAGCTGGGATTACAAGTGTGTGCCACCACACCCAGCTAATTATTGTATTTTTAGTAGATATGGGGTTTCACCATGTTGGCCAGGCTGGTCTTGAACCCCTGACCTCAAGCAGTCTGCTGGCTTCAACATCCCCAGCGACCTACTAAAATTTAGAGCAGAATATTCCAGTTAGCACAATAGTTAGCCTTTCTGCCTGACCGGATACTTTGAAACAATCAACACATTAATTTTGTAGAGAAAACTATAGAATATGGTGACTTTTTTTTTTTTTTTTTTAAGAGATGGGTCTTGCTGTTGCCCAGGCTAGAGTGCAGTGGCTATTCACAAGTGCAATCCCACTGCTGATCAGCACTCGAGTTTTGACCTGCTCCGTTTCCAACCTGGGTCGGTTCACCCCTCCTTAGGCAACCTGGTGGTCCTCCGCTCCTGGGAGGTCAAACATGGAGACATTTTAAAAGCTAAAAAATATTCACATAGAAGGAAAGTCATGGAAAGAATAACTATAAATGATTGATTAACATATGAAAAATGTTTAAGTTCACTAATATCCAAACAACTGGGATTTTTCTCTATCAAATTGACATGTTTAATTTATTTTTTTTTCACTTTTGTTTTAAGTTCTGGGTACATGTGCAGGTTTGTTACAGAGGTAAACCCGTGCCATGGTGGTCTGCTGCACAGATCACCCCATCACCTAGGTATTAAGCCTGGCATTAATTAGCTGTTCTTCCTGATGCTCTGCCCTCTCCCCACCAACAGGCCCCAGTGTATGTTATTCCCATCCATGTGTCCATGTGTTCTCATCATTCAGCTCCCACTTGCAAGCAAAAACATGTGGTGTTTGGTTTTCTGTTCCTGCATTAGTTTGCTGAGGATAATGGCTTCCAGCTCCATCCATGTCCCTGTAAAGATATGATCTCATTCCTTTTTACAGCTGCATAGTATTCCATGGCGTCTATGTACCACATTCTCTTCATCCAGTCTATCACTGATGGGCATTTGGGTTGATTCGTCTTTGTTATCGCAAATAGTGCTGCAATGAACATACTTACGCATTTTTTTTTTTTTTTTGAGTTGGAGCCTTGCTTGTCACGCAGGCTAAAGTGCAGTGGCATGATGATCTCAGCTCACCGCAACCTCCTCATTCTGGGTTCAAGCCATTCTCCTGCCTCAGCCTCCCCAGCAGCTGGGATTACAGGTGTGCACCACCACACCCAGCTAATTTTTGTATTTTTAGTAGAGACAGGGTTTCACCATGTTGACCAGGGTGGTCTCGAACTCCTGACCTCATTATCTGCCCACCATGGCCTCCCAAAGTGCTGGGATTACCGGCATGAGTCACTGTGCATAGCCCATGCATTTATCTTTATAATAGAATGATTTATATTCTTTTGGGTATATACCCAGTAATGGGATTGCTGGGTCAAATGGTATTTCTGCCTCTAGATCTTTGAAGAATCACCACACTGTCCTCCACAATGGTCAAAGTAATTTAAACTCCCACCAATAGTGTAAAAGTGTTTTTTTTTTTTTTTCCCTCCACAACCTCGCCAGCATCTATAGTTTTTTAAACTATTTATTTATTTATTTTGAGATAGAGTCTTGCTCTGTCACCCAGGCTGGAGTGCAGTGGTGCAATTTCGGCTCCCTGTAACTTCTGCCTCCCAGGGTCAAGAAATTCTCCTGCCTCAGCCTCCTGAGTAGCTGGAATCACAGCCTCATCCCACCACACCCAGCTAATTTTTGTATTTTTGGTAGAGATGAGGTGTTGCCAGGTTGGCCAGTCTGGTCTCAAACTCCTGACCTCAGGTGATCTGCCTGCCTTGGCCTCCCAGAGTGCTGAGATTACAGGCGTGAGCCATGTGTCCGGCTGTTTTTTCACCTTTTTTTTTTCCCTGAGATGGAGTTTCATTCTTGTTGCCCAGGCTGCAGTGCAGTGGCATGATCTCGGCTCACTGCAACCTCTGCCTCCTGGGTTCAACCGATTCTCCTGCCTCAGCCTCACCAAGTAGCTGGGATTACGGGTGCACACCACCATGGCCAGCTTAAGTTTTGTATTTTTAGTAGAGATGGGGTTTCACCATGTTGGCCAGGCTCTTCTGAAACTCCTGACTTCAGGTGATTCACCTGCCTTGGCCTTCCAAAGTGCTGGGATTACAGGCATGAGCCACCGCACCTGGTCTCAAATTGACATTTTTTAAAGATAACCTGGGCACAGTGGCTTGCACCTATAGCCCCAGCTATATGGGAGGCTCAGGTGGAAGGATGGCTTGAACCCAGGAGACTGAGGCTGCAGTGAGCTAGGATCCTGCCACTGTGCTCTAGCCTTGGTGACAGAGTGAGACGCTGACTCTAAATACACAAAGATTTTAAAAAATAAAGACAGCCTGGGCATGGTGGCTGAAATCTATAATCCTAGCACTTCGGTAGGCCAAGGTAGGCAGATCACCTGAGGTCAGGGGTTCAAGACCAGCCTGTCCCACATGGTGAAACCCTGTCTCTACTAAAAATACAAAAATTAGTAGGGCATGGTGGTGCATGCCTGTAGTCCCCGCTACTTAGGAGGCTGAGGCAGGAGAATGACTTGAACCTGGGAGGCAGAGGCTGTAGTGAGCTAAGATCGTGCCACTGCACTCCAGCCTGGGCCGCAGAGGAAGACTGTCTCCAAAAATAAAAAGATAAAGATAGTGGCCGTCATGGTGGGTGTGCTGAAGAAGACCACTGGCCTTGTAGGATTGGCTGTGTGCAGTACTCCACACGAGAGGCTAAGAATACTGTACACAAAGATTCTTGATGGTCTTGAGGATATCCCTAAAAATGCAGCATATAGAAAATATACAGAACAGATTATAAATGAGAAGCTGGCTATGGTTAAAGCAGCTGAACATGAACTAAGTCTGGCAAGAAAAATGGTGCCGTGGAAAACATGGGAGCCAGTAGTGGAAGAGCCTCCTGCCAATCAGTGGAAATGGCCAATGTAATTATTAAGTGATTTTGGTGGGTTGATGGGAAACTGATGTAATTAAGTATTCTGTTCCATTAAGAACGTGTTCATATTATTGACATAATCAAGAAAACTGATATAGAAAATATCTAGGAAACTGTTAAAATTAGTGATTATGATAATTCGGTTATGTGAATCCATTTTTGATTTGTAAAGTAGTCACACAAATTATTTCAAAGATGATATTTCTATGAACAGAGATGTCATGGGAAGATTTGAGAATTAATTAGAAAAATTCCTACAGATCTTCAATTCCTACAGATCTTCAATGTAGAGGCCATAATCAAAAAGTAAAGTTTCTTTAGTAGTATGTTCAATATATCATTCATTTTTAAAAATTATTCTGAAGAAGAAAAGAAAAGGTCCTTAATTATTATGGTCTAAACAAATTTATAGATCACTGTTTGAGGTAAAAAATAAGAGTGATATTTTCAAATGTGATAAAATTGCACCAATGACTGGTAATAAAATTTGAAATTATGGTTAACCTCCTTAACTGTGATCTTACGGATGTAAAGTAAAATTTAAATATATAGTTATATATTGATTAGAAAATCCAATATGCCATTTTGTTTTAGTCACTATTTGAATTATATCATTTACTCTGTTTTCTTATAGTCTTAATTTTATTACATTTTGTTGTTACTATATTATATTTGAAAACCATCAAATTATAATACATTGTACAGTTGAAGAAATTGACTTGGTACTTGAAAGAAATATTAGTGGTACTTGGAAAAACTTTTCCTTTAGTTGTATTTGTGTAAGTTAGTTTTCGGGCCCATAGCCTTTTAATTTTCTTAATCAACCTAATTACATCAGGATAGAGGTAGAACTTCTGTAAAAGAAGAGACATTAAGAGTTCCTGAAATGTATATCTGGCATATGTGTAGGCTTGTATTCAAAACATCTTAGTCATACGACTATAAATTCAAAGTGCAATCACTAAGTAGTTTGCAGCACGTTTCTAATATAAGTGTAGGTGGGTATAAAAACAAGACAAATGCTGTTCAGGGAAAGAAGTTGGCAAGCTTAAGGTTAAACAAAAATAAAATTTTTTTAAAAAGATAAAGATAGCATCTAAACTCTGCACAAAGGTAATATAAAGTAGGTTTAAGAGCTCAACCCCTGAAGCCGCCTCTGTCTGAATGAATTGGAGCAGGTACTTGGTCTCTCCGCACTTCAGTGTCCTCATCTCTAAAGAAAGAACAATAATAGCACCTGCATCATACCAGATTAAATTGATTAAGTACGAAGGACTTAGGTGTATGTGGTTGCCTCCGTGGAGGGGCAAGTGTTATCTTTATTTTAATCTTTTTTTTTTTTTTCTTGAGACAGAGTCTCTCTCTGTTGCCCAGGCTGAAGTGCAATGGCACAATCTTGGCTCATTGCAACCTCCACCTTCAGGTTTCAAGGGATTCTCCTGCCTCAGCCTCCCGAGTAGCTGGGATTACAGGCACCCGTCCCCATGCCCAGCTAACTGTTGCAGCTTTAGGAGAGACGAGGTTTCACCTTGTTAGCCAAGCTGATCTCGAACTCCTGACCTCAGGTGATGTGTCCACCTCCGCCTCCCAAAGTGCTGGGATTACAGGTGTGAGCCACCGCGCCAGGCCTGTTGATTATTTCATTTCTGTACTTTGAATAAATGTACATGTTTCATGCAGGTGTTTTGTGTGTGTGTGAGTGTTCCAGAATTGTGGCTGAGACACAAAGCTCTAGAAAAAGACATTTATTTTATTTTTATTTGTTTATTTATTTATTTTTTTGGGGGGGATGGAGTCTCGCTCTGTTACCCAGGCTGGAGTGCAGTGGCGCGATCTCAGCTCACAGCAACCTCCGCCTCCCAGGTCCAAGCGATTCTCTTGCCTCAGCCTCCTGAGTAGCTAGGATTACAGCCACCATCACGCTCGGCTAATTTTTGTATTTTTAGTAGAGATAGGGTTTCACCATGTTGGTCAGGCTGGTCTCAAACTCCTGACCCTGTGATCTGCCTGCCTCAGCCTCCCAAAGTGCTGTGATTACAAGCATGAGCCACTGTGCCCGCCTGACATTTAGAACTCCACATTCTGTGTTTCTGGAACCTTTGAGACCTCTCTCGGCTTACTGGGAAGCATATTTTTTTACTGACAGGAGGATAGAGTCCTACTTACTGTTTTACACTCTACGGTCCCAAACCTTTTCATTACACGTGCCCATGGTATCTCAGTCATATTTTCAAGGTGCACCTAGACCAAAAGAACTACCTCCCTAACTACATTCCATTTATTATGTAGCTAGTTCCAATATCTACAACTTAAGTATTTGTGTCTAAATACCTAACAACCATTTTTTTTTCCGCTTCAGAGTCTCACTATGTTGCCCAGGCTGGAGTACAGTGGCACAATCTCACTCACTGCAACATCCACCCCCTGGGTCCTGGTTTAAGTGATTCTCTTGCCGCAGCCTCCCGAGTAGCTGGGATTACAGGTGTGCGCCGCCATGCCTAGTTAATTTTTGTATTTTTAGTAGATACCAGGTTTCACCATATTGGCCAGGCTGGTTTTGAATTCCTGACCTTGTGATCCACCCGCCTCGGCCTCCCAAAGTGCTGGGATTACAGGTATGAGCCACCGCACCCAGCCCCTAACAGCAATTTTTAAAAGTTCATATAAATTGAGGCTGGGCGTGGTGGCTCATGCTTGTAATCTCAGCACTTTGGGAGGCTGAGAAGGGTGGATCACCTGAGGTTGGGAGTTTGAGACCAGCCTGACCAACATGGTAAAACCCTGTATCAAAAAAAAAAATTAGAAAGTA